CACACACACACACACACACACACACACACACACACACACACACACACACACACACACAAGTCTAACGCTCCAAACTGACAGGACATTTTTTCAATGCATTTGAATGAAACAGTTTTTTAAAACTCTGTCAAGAGACAAATGTTTTGTTCATTTATTCAACTTCCGTTCATGTAACTCAACAAAATGCCTTTTTTCCTAACGATTCTTTAGCGATAATAGTTCTAATGTAAACCCCGACAAAAATAAAATCTAAAAACTAAAATATATAAACAAAACTAAAAAGAATTCAAATTAAAATAAAGGATTTGTGCTTTCCTTTAAAACCTCTCTCTCTCTCTCTCTCTCTCTCTCTCTCTCTCTCTCTCTCTCTCTCTCTCTCTCAATATACTTCTTTCTCAACGAGAAGGCAACCCTCAAATGAAAAGAGAAAGAAGAAGAAAAGACTGAACCTGTCCCCAAACATCGGAAGTTTGCAGAAGCAGAGCCTACTTATTTGTGACTGAAAAATGCCAATTTCAGGGAGGTTCCACGCATAACTTTCGTTATAAAAAAACATAAAAAAGAAAGGAAAATAAAATAATTGTGGCCAATCAAAAAAATTGACACAAAGATAATTTTGATGTTAGCCGAAACCAATGTTCGCGCCAAATTCTCGACAAAAGTATATAAACAGGACACCTTTAGGTTAGAGGCAGATGAGACAAGGAGAGGGCGGAACAAAATTACGCTACAGCGTAGAAACCCGCTATGCGTGATGCGTAATTAAGAGGTGATTTGCTATTGATATTTCTGCCCTGACCAGAGCTGAGAAAAACACAGTTGATTGAAATTGACCTAATTTCAGATACTACTACTACCCCTATTGTGGTCTTACTTCAAAATACCGGACTTTTCCACTGACTGCTACAAACATCAGCCTGATTAACGAAGTTTTTGCTACGCCGAATACGAAAGGACTCACTCATCACTCTAAAGAAACACTTGAGTCAGTTCGGTTTTATTCTCGAAGTTCCGATAATTATCTTATCACCTACCAAAGAATAATACGATTGCACATCTGCAAATAATCATTAAAAGAAAAGAATGAAAACCCTAAAAAAAATACATCTATGTATGCTATAAATGGAAATGGTTAATGATTTTATTTATACGTATCAAAATTATTTTCGTTTTTTAAGAACTTTAATCTAAAGCTTCTTTCATGTACTCATTTAAAAATTATCTTTGAGCCCACTATATTATTGATATTTTTAAAATATATCATATCGTTATCAATATAGCGACTTGCAATGAGAAATCGGAGAGCCGAGTTCGAATTCCAGTCATTTATGCGGGTATATCCTTGAAAGAGTTAAACAGCTATGGATTAAACAGTAGGACTTATCTGGAAAATCATTGTAATTCTAAAGAAAACTGTTAATGTAATAGTCACCCATACAAAAAGGAATTATTGTTACAATCCAATATATTTCGACTTTAAATAAAACACAGAAAAGATTGATAAACCTTAAATAACAAATCAATCTATTCTTATCAATATTGTTCGTTTCGATAAACTTTCATGGAGGTGGCTAGTAGAATAATATATAAAGAAACCTACAAAGACAGATGACATACAGTTAACACACCTAAGAGTTCTTGAAAATAACCTTCGAAAGTTAGTGAAGATCCATAAAACTTACCACGAGATTATATATAATATTGTCAACGGAAAACTTCAACAACAGGGGTAAAATAGTTTTACACCTCCAGTAAAACAATAGAACACAACACATTACTTTCTTATTTCACGCCCCCCTTTTCTTTTCTTTTTTTCTTTTCAAAATATCACTTTCTTTTTTATTATCTTCTATTCTTATCTTACTTAATTTATTTATATTCTTGCTTTCTTTTTCCCCTTTCTTCGTTCAATGGACTGTGCCAGTAAGAGTGACTGCGAGTGGCTAGTTGGATGCTCTATACAGAAACCTACGGAGGTTCATGATCCTTAGATTGTTCTCAGTAGAATCAGTTATTGAGAGGAACATTCGACATTTATCGAAAATCCATGAAACTTAACACAAAATTGCGTCAATTAGAAGTGTAGATTAGGCCATCTAGCCCTGCTCTACCCATCGAATTAAAATCCAGTCTAAAAGAAAGAGAATTCTGAATGCCAAAGTGTGGAGAAGGCAACAAGGAAGCACTCCTTTATCTTTCCCAGGAGGGCATGATAATTAACAGATAAAAAATAAAATGAGTCTGTGGATAGACGTGACTGCCTACGTCCTGAAGCGATATGGCGTTAAAAAAAATGTAAACGTCATTGGCGTAACGGAAAATGGTATTAGCGAATCGAGTTCAAAATTCAGCCGTTGCTGTTTGGGTTCATTTCGCACTAATGACTATTTGGGGAAACAAATTAGTACTCTACTGTTTCACCCACTAACCACAGGTGAAATAATAGAATGGGTCCTTTAGTATGAAACTCAGTCTAGGGAAACAAGTGAATTCAAATATCCTTGAGATAAAAATCAATCCATCTATTCTCCCCGAAGCTATGGATTTAGCAAACGATTTTTTCTAGCCATGAAACTCTCTCTGTTCCTATGGCTGCAGTACAACCTTAATGGGTTACGGGACATTTGATCGTGAAGATCAGTAAATGTGAATTCTGAACTATTGGAATGGTACGACGAAGATATTGGTTAGAAAAAAATGAAAAGAAAACCATTGTGTCACGGAAGATAATTGTTATAAAGTCGTGAAAGAATTTTCTTTTTAACAAAGAGAAGAATGATTTGGAAGTTTTGTTTTAAATCAACAAATCATGTTTACGAAATGATAAAAGAATTGATATTGTATTTTGCTATATCTTTTAACGAAGTATAATGTCAAACACATGTCAGAATTATAGAATGAAATGGAATCAACTTTATGATTTCTATAACAAGTTTATTCTTTAGAAGAAAATATGAAAATTTAATGCAATTGTTTTATATTTTATTCTTGAACAAAACATTCACAAAAAGGAACATACTTTAAAACTTAGTTAAAACAAATATACAGTGTAACCTCGGTTCACGAATTTAATTCGTTCGTAACCCGAAATGTTCGAAAACCGAAACTATTTTTCCAGTAGGAATTAATGTAGAGAAAAGAAGTCACATCTGTGTCCGCACTATTTATATACGCTCTACTATATAAATATAGCATATATATATATATATATATATATATATATATATATATATATATATATATATATATATATATATATATATATATATATATATATATATATATATATATATATATATATATATATATATATATATATATATATATATATATGACGCGTCTAACCGCTCGGCCCGAATATCGCCTTTTTGAACACACGCTCTCTGCCGATTCCCGAAATAGCCATATCTGCTCTGTATCTGTCACGTTAGGCTGTCAGATGTTACCCATCAGGGATGCAGGTTCGAGTCTTGCTGGTGGATGCATCTATTTTTCTGACGATTATTCTGCCGGTAGATGTAGTTAGATAAAAATGCTGTTTACTTAAAAAAAAAACAGAACTTCTACTCGAATATGAGTATCTATCAAAAATAACGCTAAATTAAATAAATTAAAAATAACAATATGTCGGATTTAATCTATTTTTCCTTATCTCTTGAAGAAAATTTCTCGAATATTCAGGCTTGTAGACGGAAATAAATATCTTCTTTAAAAATAAACGGACTGTATACTAAAATATGGGTATCCTCTAAAAACAAAATTTAAAGTCATGAAAATAGGCTACATTAATAAATAAGACATCATTACTTCCTTATATATATATATATATATATATATATATATATATATATATATATATATATATATATATATATATTTCATAGCTCTTACTTTTTAAAAACTTTTTCCCTCGAGATTGATTTGATTATTGGCAAATCAAAAATTCGAAGGTTTTTCGAAACGAGTATATACCTGTATATATATATATATATATATATATATATATATATATATATATATATATATATATATATAAGAAATATAGTCGTAAGATGTGCTATATTTATGGGATAAAGTGCTCAATATCAGAGATAGAGCGTGTGTAAATATAAAAGTGAACATAGAAGTCAATACTTAGTGGCGACAGTCTGTTTCATGCTAGATGCAATCGTCAGGCCACGACGATTGCATCTAGCATGAAACAGACTGTCGCCTCTAAGTGTTAACTTCTATATTCACTTTTATATTTATATACACGCACACACACACACACACGCACACACACACACACATATATATATATACATACATACATATATATATATATATATATATATATATATATATATATATATATAAGTTGGGATCAAATATAGGTCAAATTTGGACTGTAATCCAACAGAACGATAAGATAAAGAAAAAGAAGAAATTCTGATATTTTTACTTTTGTATTGTTTGCGGTACTAGATTGGCAGCCAAATCTCATCATTTTCCAGGTGAAATGTCTCGATGTAACCGTAAGTTCTATGTTAACAGTTTCTTCTCTCACACTTCAAAATTGTAAATGCAATATCAATCGTTATATTCTGTCTTCTAATTCTTGTTCTTTTATTCTTGTTCTTTTATTCTTGTTTTTTTTTTTTTTTTTGTCCTATCTCTTTAATAATGCTTTCATTTTCTCCTATTCTCTCACACTCAGTAACCTCTTGCAACTTAGTGGCTTTATAGCATTTTGGGGGCTGAAATGATTATGGAAGTTCAAGTTAGTATATTATCATACGAGGAACTGGAATTGAACAAAGTTCGAATTTGAACTGAAACAGCTACCTTCGCTAATACTCTTGGGAAAGAGATGAATCCACATCCCTGCATTCTGTCTCATTGCCAGATATCTTGGCAAAAATTTCTTGTAACTAACATGTCAAGCGTTTGAAGGAGAAAAAGAGTTAGCCCTTGTCAGCGCCACTCTCCTCTGACTTCCCTCTCCCATGATTGGCTTACGGTCCTCGTAAGATCACCGAAGTTCAGCAACGTAGGGACTAGTTAGTACCTAGATGCGTGACCACTTGGGATTACCGGGGGCTGTAAGCTTGGATGTTAGGCTGGTGTAATGGATAATACTCGGAACTGGAAATTGGAGAGTCGAGTTCCAATTCTTACGCGCAAATACCCTTGGTAAAGGTGTGTATCCACCTCATCTCCCTCCAGCTATGGTTTAATTAATTTGACGTATATCAGCAAATCCTTAGTATCTCAGAAAGAAATCTAGCTTCTTCAGTGCTACACGCGTTTTGAATTCAGTATTGCATTTCTTAAGTGAATCTTTAACGGCATATCAACTCTTTAGAGTCATTTTATACCAAAACCCGAAATTTATTTATTGTTTATATTCAGGGAAAATGAACAATCTTTGTTTTCTTTCTTCATATATACAGGGTGCAATGGATAAATTGTCATCTTAAATACACAAAACCGTTATTATGATTTTTATATGTTTCCATATATTGCATGCTGAGATGGGATCCACGTGAGATTAGGAGATAAAAGATGAATGAGAAAGAAACAGTCGGGATTGTATTCATTGTAAACTCTACGAGCCTTTCATAAACTGCATTATATGTGCTTCTTCAGTGCTACACGCATTTTGAATTCAGTGTTGCATTCCTTAAGTGAATCTTTAACGGCATATCAACTCTTTAGAGTCATTTTATACCAAAACTGATTTATTTTGGTTTATATTTAGGGAAAATGAACAATCTTTGTTTTTTCTTTATATCTTCAGATATAATTGAACTGATTTCAGAAATGTTATAATTCTATTTATTTTAATAATTTCAAATAGTTCTTTTAGGGTAGTACTTCTTGTTTCAGTAAAAAAGAATGCATAATTTTATTGTGACCTATTCGTAGTCGTGTTATAATAACCTCTTCCTTTCGGGATTTTCCATAACGACAGGGTTTTTTTTTCTGAGGGTTGCTAAGATCGTATTTAGTTTATTTTCGTTTTTCTACTCCATTGTTCCCGCCATTGATTTTGCATGTTTTAATTAATGGTTTTAGGTCAGTATATGAGATTTGATAGTTTACAGGAACTAGTCTTAATGGATGTTTAGCACTTTTATCCATCATTACCCTTAATTTCTACATGACTAGAAATTCAGATGAACAGAATTGTTTGGAATATAGAGATGGCATGGACTTTTTCAAATATTTCAAATTTTTCTTTGTGAAAGATGTTAATACTCAGAAAAGATAAATTTTGAAGATTTTTCTTTGGTGATCACGTCGACGGCTACATCTATATATATCGCTCTGTCTTCTACACTAAATGTGAAGACTTCATTTGGGAGACGTTTTTTTAATTGTTGCGTTATTAAAAAATAATTGGACATCCTACTCTATCACTGTTTTTGGAATCATCAGTATAGATGTGCACATAATCTGGATATTGTTGTCTACTGTTTTGTAGTTCCGCTTGAAAAGTGACTGAATTTGTATTTTGTCTTGAGCTCTTATTTAGACTGAGGAGAACTTTGGGGTGCTGGGTTGTCCAAGGTGGAATTTTAGGTATGGTTGATTTGTGAATATTTGTGACGGGTCTTTTGGAAACATCTACTTTCGCTGCTATTCGTAAACCAATGGCCTTTTTATTGCTTTCTCTTCCATCTCTATCTATAAAAGGCAGGATGTGTGTGTGTGTGTGCGCGTGCGTGCGTGTGTGTGTGTGTGTGTGTGTGTGTGTGTGTGTGTGTGTGTGTGTGTGTGTGTGTGTGTGTGTAACGAATGCACAGTCGCAATTTTCGACGGATTTGCACCAAAATTTACATGTACATGCTCCAAGTTAGCGGGAAAGCCAAGACTTTGCATTTCCCAACTCCCATCGATAGTGGAAATAATCGATTTTTTCATGCTTCTACGGCAGTTTTCATGTAGTTTGCGGCCATTTTCTACTGGCCAGAGTGAGAGTCTATAGCTGGCTGCCACGAATAGGCAGGAAGATTCTACTGGCCAGTGTGAGAGCCAACAGCTGACTGACACGAATGTTAACTAGCATGCAAAAAAAATTGATAGCTGCATTCATCACAAGTGGGAAAAATGTAAATCTGCATGGCACTTTACTCCAATTGGCTCATTCGCTTGCTTAAACTAGCGTTGATTCTGAATCCGCAGAACTGGGTTGGGTGTGAAAAAGTATTTGTTGTTAACATTCTTTTTTCATTCGGTTTTTCCAATTACGAGTCTTTTTTTTTAAAGCTAATCGTTTTGTGTTCATTTTCTTTAGTTCTTTTTTCGTAACAGATTTAATGTTTAGTATAGAGCTTCTAAAAAATTCGCAGTGTGAGATAGGTATGAATTAAGGCATGTAGCAACAACAGCACGGCAAAGGGCACTCCTTTAAAGGCAAGGAAGGGCAAAAATATTTTAAGTCAAGTGATAGCGATTTCTATATGAGTCGTACGATTTTTGAAACAAGCACGGGCAACACCGGGCCATGCTGCTAGTCTTCAATAAAGCTTTTGTAAATTGGTTGCTAATCAAGGCTGAAGAGCACAATCTACCCTACAGTTTAACCTGTATTTGGCGGGAAAAGAGGTGGATTCATACCATGTCCATTGGTATTTTCATGTAAATGAATGGAACGAAATACCACTAGAAACCGAACTCTGATCCCCGATTTCTGGTTTCGAGCCGTTATCCATCACATCAACCGCAAATCCCACTTTATTTCTCTCTCTCGCACGCACACACACACTCTCTCTCTCTCTCTCTCTCTCTCTCTCAACTTATTTTTTCTAAACTACTCCCCCATAATTAAATTTATTCAGTAGTAGCAGTAATGTCTGTAATATCCATTTTCCACCTTGAGAAGGGCCAATCATAATATGTTCACATATTTAAACACGTATGGAGGCGCGATTGTATGTAGACATTTGCATTTTCTATGTAGATATCATAGATACAGATCGATCCACAGAGAAACGCGTGCATCAATGCGTGTTGATCGATGAAACTATTCTTGGATGATTTTTGACTGTAAACAAGATTCGATTTTGTTCCTCTCGATTTTCACACTAACCATCAAACCTTCAATTTTAATACTGTCCTCTCTCTCTCTCTCTCTCTCTCTCTCTCTCTCTCTCTCTCTATCTATCTATCTATCTATCTATCTATATATATATATATATATATATATATATATATATATCCCTCTCTCTCTCTCTCTCTCTCTCATTACGTTTTTTCTCTCTCTTCATATATTCTCTCTTTCACTCACTCTTATTATTATGCTTTTCTCCTCAGCTCTTAAATTTTTCTATCTATTGTTTTCTCTCTCATTTTCTTTCTCTCTCATTCTCTTTCTCTCTCTTTCTACCGTTATTATGATTTCTCTCTATCCCTTTCTTTCTTCATTATGTTCTCTCTCTCTCTCTCTCTCTCTCTCTCTCTTATATTTTCTCTTTCCTTTTTTTTTCGTTATATGCTTTTTCTATTTCTTTTTCTCTCACACGCACACTCTTTCCCTTCTTATATTTCCTGATTATATACTTTCTTTCTCCAGCCATTATGCTTTATTCCCTCTTTCTCTTTCTTCATTATGCTCTCTCTCTCTCTCTTTCTCTCTCTCTCTCTCTCTCTCTTTCTCGCACACGAACACTCTTCCTCTTGCTCTCTCGCCTTATTATAGCCTTTCTCTCTCCTGTCATTGTTTTATTCCCCACTCTCTCTCTCTTTTCATTATGTTCTCTCTCTCACCTTATTTCGTTTACTCGTTCCCTCTTTCACACACACGATCCCTCTCCCATGTTCTCTTTCTTTCTTTCCAAACCGTCTTCTCTTTTCTGTTCTTACCCGAAGTCTGTCTTAGCAGCTGTCTGAATCAAGCGAGACCGCTGATTATGCAGACACTGTCTCCCTATATTGGACGCCCTGGGTATGACGATAAACTATATTCGACAGAAGGACCTCTGATCGGGGATTCTGAAATGCTGTTGTTCCCAGGTCCGCCATGACCCTGGGTGGTAGAACCTGTTAGGGTTCCAGATATGGGCAAATAGTTACACCCCCACCCATCAAACTAGGTTCAAAACACCATGAAAGTGTAGTAGTGGATTTTTATAGTAAAAGTACCAAAAGAATACTACAGGCGTGTGCGTCTGGTTTTAAATACAGAGTTGAATTCACAAAACAGAATATCAGGCATAAATACTTTGAAAAGTAATGATGGCGTAATGGATAACGGCTCAAACTGAGGAATCGGGGAGCCGAGTTCGAATTACATTACATTCACTTACATGGTAATACTCTTGGGAAAGGCATGAATCATCTTCTTCTCCCCCTCCCGACTCTGTCTTTCTGTCTGTCTGTCTCTCTCATACACAGACATTAAGAGCGTTTACCGTGACCAAAAGTGATGTCAGATACCTGTAGGAAATAGCAAAATCTTAGGTAATACCATGAACTCTTGCATATCAATTATGTAATAAATATATTTGGTACTCTATGTCATTTTTTAGAATCCAAGATAATTCCTGTGCCCCATCATGATGAAGCCACAGTGGATAGCATTGAGGAATCATAAGGCCGAGTTTGAATTTCAATCGGATCTACTACATTCACTTACGTGGTAATACTCTTGGGAAAGGTATGAATCCTCTTCGTCTCCCCTCCAGTCTAGGTGAAAGTAACTCTGAATTCAAAACTGTATGTAGCCCTGTCGTAGCACATATTATACAGCTAAAAATTCGTCATACAGCCTCGTTCTGGTAGCGAAAGCGCTGGTGTCAAACTGTAATGGCCATGATGTTCCTTTGGATCCATCAGCGACGTAGAGAAGGGGTTGATTCTCCTCCATACCATCCCGTCTAGGCATGATCCTACTTTATAGATGGATGGGATAAAATCCATGATCATTGATGACCGTCGGAGGCACATGCTTTAAAACGCCCTGAGCATCCAGCAGTTTCTGACCGAGAGGAATATCGCCGTGTGACTTTTTTCTTTTCTCCAAGCTCAAGGGGATCATCAAGAGACCCATTTTGAAGGCGTGGAATCCCTCAATAGGGCCGTAACGATGGAGGTGAGAGACATCGAAGAAGAATCAACTGTACATAGAAGCGTAGCAGGAAAAGGATGGAAAACTGCATTAGACTCGAGGGGGATTACTTTGAAGGAAAAACCATGTAGTTTCTTGATTGAAATAAATTGTTTGTGACCCTTACTTTTCAGATAGTGATCGTAGGTGAGGATCGAACACTATTCTATGCGACCAGCACAACTTTTTTTTCCACTTGATGAAAAACAAGTAAAAAAAGAATTTATTTTTGTTTTTGTTTAATGAGAACGTTCTATTTTAACATCACTGTTTATTTACCCCATGACGACAAAGCGCATCAAAGGAGGGTGCATACAGACACTTAGGTCTGCCCCGGTTAAACACTGTGATGGGTCAGAGGTTAATGAGCGAGAGAAACTCGAAACCTGGGTGTATTGTTCCTCACTTGAACACACTTGACACCTTTGAGCTAACCTTTGTCCTGCACCTCAGCAAGTTTGGCGCGCGTTTTTCTAAAATGGCGCGAAAATCAGAACAATTGTAACAGCTGCAAGAATAACAAAAATAGACGGAAATAAATTAAAAGCTCCATTTGGTACGATTTCTTTCAGTCACTCTTTCTAATTATCTTTTAGGGTTCAGCGTTTCTAAGTGCCTATCCTAGCTCTAATGTTAATAATTAATTAATTTTCTATCCTAGAGATAATCTTTACCTAACAGCTATCTCTTGCTCTACAACAGGTTTTATCTTTCCTAATTTTCAACCTTAACTTTATCCCTAGATCTAAACTGTGCATAATATCTCTCCTTAGATTGGTTCGTTTTTTACGGCTCATCAACCCTTTGCAGGTTGTTTAAAGCCAGAAAATATTTTAGATTATAAGAATTGGGGGGGCTTTAGTGATACAAGTTTTACTAATTAACCCATAGCTGTGGGGAGAAGAGCTGGTTTCCCCGTGGGTATTTATAACGAACCCAACAGGAATTGGTACTTGACTCTCCGATTAATACTTCCGAACCATTATTCATTACACAACTCGCGCATCCATGCTTACAGCACCTGATATTCCGAAGCGGTCACCCATCTAGCTACTGACCAGGCTCGATGTTGCTTAACTTAATCTCCGATTAACACTTCCGAATCATTATCCATTACACAACGCACACATCAAATCTTACAACACCTGGTTTTCCTAAGCTGTCACTTAAGTACTGACCAGACTCGACGTTGCTTAACTTCAGTATCTGTCCTTAGTCTTAGGGTTATATTCAGGTCTCCATTATAAATAAACTTTAATCTTAAATATTCTCGTTCTGTTGTTCATTTTGTTTCACCTGTCAGATTTCACGTCTTTAATTAGAAAATTTTAGTGGGTCTCTTGTGACCTCTTACCGATTCGGGGTGCTTGTGCCGCTTCGCGTCGCTCTCACATCCAGGGGGTCCACTACAAATATGTATTTCAACAGTAAAATGATGAGACCTAGTTATCAATCGAGTCGCAAGCTTAAATTCACGTTGTTGAGATACCCGAGATGAAAACTTTTCAAAACAATTTTCATGAAAATATTTATAGAGTCGACATAATGGTGTTGGGGAAAGTGACAATCGAAATGCCATGTCAGAACGGATAACATTGCAGATCCTTCTTTGGTTGTCAAAAATCTCGTGATCTATAGCACCAGACTTGATATGGCAGCAATGTTCAATGCACGGAGGAATGGTAGATTCATATTTGTGCAAGACGAGAAAAATTGTCTGACACGACATCGTGAACCAATAAAAAATTGACCCTTCTTGTATCTTTTCTTCCACCATAAATATTTAAATTTTTTTTAATCGTATTCACTAATTGTGAAAGTATGCAGATAATTAAATCATTGAGATAAAAATCTCTGTATGACACGAATAATTAGTTCTGATTTTTTTTCATCGATTCTCAGAAACGATGTTGCTTTGCGCTTTGCCCATACAAGGTCATGTTTCCAACGACACAATATTCTAGAACGCTGTCATGTGACTATGCAGTGGAATACTGTCACGTAACCGCGTGATCGGACAATGGCATTTAGTAACAGATGCGTGGCTGCACAGTGGTATTAATGATATAATGAACAATGTATATTAAAGCAAGTCTGTAATGAAACAATGAAAAACAGTCTTTTAAAGCTTTCGCATCAATGTTCCGTTCCGTGTAGGACGTAGGCGATCATGACTCTCCACAATTTTCTTGTCCTTTGTAGCTCTTAATAAATGTCGTCTTTTTGTTATCTCTACTTGCTCTGGTATCCATTTACTCATGCCCTCTAGGTAAGTTATGCGTTGTTTTCCTTTGCCCCTCTTGCCTTCAATCCGTCCTGTGAGTATCAAATTTTACAAGTCTTCTTTCCTTATTATATGCCCTAGAAATTTCAACGGCCTTTTCCTGATGTTAAGTATAAATGTCTTTTTGTTTTCATTTCCTTTAAAATTTCGTCGTTGCTCACAAGTTCAGTCCATGGTATTCTCAACATCCTTCTGTAGAGTCAAATTTCTGTTGCTTAAAGTTATTTCTTCACATCGGAGTATGTAGAGGATGTAGCTGCTAGTTGTTGCAGAAGGAGTTACGACTTCTAACGGATGCGAGAAGAGACTGAAATCATTCAAAATAAATTAGTTCAAAACGTACGTGATATTTTATAGATATACACACAATAACATAATTCAAGAAAGAGAAAATATACTTGTGTATATACAGATAAACACCTCAGGAAAAGGAACGAATACATTTAGGCTAAGGTGTAGTGTAGACCACTAATTCACTAAAAAAAATAGCATTCTGTAATGAAAAAAGCTCCAAGATTGATGAAAACAAATTTTTATCGTCTAAATGTTTATATTATTATTTTTGATTATTTTTTTACATTTTACATTTTTCAATCCTTCCCAGCACGTCTAAAATTTTAGTTAAAAATTTTTGTTTTTTTTGAGTCAGCGAAATGGACATAAAATTGATGATGTCCGCCGTTTTTGAGAAATTTGTAAACAAAAGTTAAATTCTCTGTTTAAATATTTTATAAAAATCACTTATACCTTTTTCAAAAGTTATTTGAGGAAAATTAGAAAATTTAAAGTTTACTTAATGTAATTGAAAACGAACATACATTTTAGCGGAAAAAATTAGTTGAAAATATGAGAAGCATGTCTTAACGTTAACCCTGTTGACTTATTTCGAGGTGTGAATTGATGGATACATCGATGATTGACAGCTTACGTCAGGGGAATTTATCGGACGGAAGGACAGACGTGGCAATTTTTTCGAATTTTAAGTGAAACAACTTATTTAACTACACAGTAATTTAAAAAAATTAAATAATTTCAACTATCTAATATTTTATTGATTTTTTTAGGTACTTTCGCTTTACGTTTGAAGAGGATTTCTGGAAAAATAAAATTTAAAATAATAACAATAAAATAAATTTAAAATTTCATAATTGAGAGTGAGATAAAATATAAGAAA